TAGGGTTTTCTTTTTGAGGATAATAAAAATACTTTGAATTCAGGTTGTGGTGGTTATACAATTCGGAATATACTAAAGCCATTGAATTGTGTACCTTAAATGGGTAAATTTTATGGTATGTGAATTATATCTTAATAAAGATCATTTCAAAAAAGAAAAGCATAAACAGGAGGAAGGTTCCTCTTGAATAACATGTCTCCAGAACCTTTTTTTATTTTGTTTTCTTTCTTCTTTGGCAATACCCTTGTACAGTAGTAGGAGAAAATAGTGAATAAGATGGAGACACAGAGCTATACAATCTCTTCTCCTTAGCTTTAGATTACTGATAAGTGTTAATAGCAAGCATATATGTAATGCCAGTGCTGTTCCAAGGAATGTATGTTTAACACAAATACCTCACTACACCTCTGTGAAGTACTTTCCATGTACAGGTAGGGAAACTGGCGTAGAGTGGTTAAGTAAGTTGCCCAAGGTCACATAGATAATATGTGGTAAAATGAGATTTTGAAGCAGGCTGTCTGGCTCCAGAGTCCTCATTCTTAAGTATAATGTTCTACTACCTCTTATAAGCATTCTTTCCTAGGTAAGGGAGATTCGAGCTACTGGGTTGGTGATTGCATTTGTCATTGAGGTAGAAAATACAAAATGAGAATTTTGTGGGAGACTGTGTTAAGATAGAGGTGACTATGGACCACGAAGCTCACCAAAGCCAGTAAGTAGCTAGATATATATATAGATCAGGAGCCCTGAAGAGAAAAGACTAGATAGATTTTAAAGAACTTACATATTCTTTGAAGCCATGGATACAGATATGATATTCCAGGAGGAAGAGTACGTAAAATGAAAAAACTAAGACAGAAACTTGAGAATGCTAACTATTTAGGAACCCATAGGAGAAATGGAAAAGGATTAGCTAGGAAGCTGGAGAAAACCAGGAGTGTGTGGATGTCATAGAAGCCAAGCCAAGAGAATGCTCTAAGAAGGAGATAAAGGTCAAAGGTATCGAATCAGATATAAGACTGAAAAGTATCCATCACATTTTTTTGTGTGTGTGTTTAACTCATGTAACACCTGATCATTTTTAAAACTCATCCATGTTTAATTTGATGAGTTTTGGCAGTTATGTATACACTCAGATGATCACCCAAAAGAAGACAGAACATTTCCATCACCACAGAAAATTCCCTTGTTCCTCTTTACAGTTAGTCCCCCAACCTTGCAACCACATTTTGATTTCTACCACTGTAGATTAATTTTGCCTGTAGGAGTTATATTAATGGAATGATACAATATGTATTATTTTGTCTGTCTTATTTCCCTCAGCATAATGTTTTTGAGAGTCTCCAGTGTTATTATATGTACATGTATGTAGTTTGTTTCTCCTTATTGCTAGGTATTAATCTACTGTATGATTTTATCACTTCTTTATCCATTCTTTTATTGATGGACATTTGAATTCATTCCAATTTGGAACTATTAGGAATAAAACTGCTATGGATGTTCTTGTACAAGTCTTTTTATGGATGAATATTTTCATTTTTCTTGGGTAAATATACCTAGGAATGGCCATTAAATTTCATGTTAAAGTGAAGGTTTGTGACCACAGCCAGAGCAGTTTCAGTACTTAGGGAGAGAAACCAGATCGATGGCACTGGGAAATCAGAAAGTATTCTTAGTAATAACTATTAAGGAAAACGAGCCGTGATGAAGAGAAGTGGTAGCTGAGTCAGAGGCAAGATTTTATTTGATTTTATTTTTGTGTTTTAAGTTATTGATGGGAAGGAACTGGGAAAGAGAGAAGATTGTTTACAGAAGAGGTCCCTGAGATCCCTAAGGAGGAAAGACAGATGAAATGCAGAGTATAGGTTGGAAGGATTAGTCCTACCTTATGAGAAGATAATATGGTAGGAGAGAAAGAAGAAACGTGTGACAATGGAGAGATGTAATAGGCTTGTTGGCAGAGAATTCCTCTCTGATGACTTCTGTATTTTCTGTGAAGTTGGGGGTTGATTAATTTGCTGAAAATGAGGTGGTGAAGGAGACAGGGTCAGGGATAGCAGGAGAGGGAGTAGGGGTTGAAGGTTTGAGACAAATGGAAAGTATTTTAAATAGTCATCATGAAGAAACAAAGAACTGTAAGTATGCTGGACAGCTTTGGGGATTCAGAAGAGATTGGAAGAGCCCAAGAACTTTTATGGCCCTTCAGGACTATTCCATCAAATAAGTTGTTAGATCTGAAAAGTGCTTTGTAAATATGAGACCCATACAGTTATTTCTGACTAGAGGTGTATGTTTTAACTATCCATGTTTAGTGTCCTATTCAACATACTTTTTTGGACAAAGGATCTAATTTATTATAGAGTTGTGTGTCAGGAGTGCCCTCTGTGATTTTCATAATTATCTAACAATGGTTTGCTTCCCTTACCTGTGATAGGATAAGCAATTTGGGTAATAAATATTAACATATACAGTGTTTATCTTAAGGGAAATAAAGTACAATCTAGCCTTGTAGTTTTGAAAGGACTTTATGCTTTTTTTCATTGAGCAATGTCAGAAGTGGAGTTGGAGTATGTCAGTACCTTTCTCTTCTGCAGCTTCTATTCCTCAAACTCCGTAGTCTCAGTGAAAGCAAGCCAGGGCATGCTTAGCAAACTGAATTATGCGGATATTCCTGTAGCAAGCCATGTTGTTAGTGCTACTTTGTTGAGGTTTAGGAGAGACTTTTTTAAGGTTCTTTTTCATATCAGTGGTTCAGTTAAGATAAAACCATCACCAAAGTTGAGATTCCTGATAGATAGACCTAAATGTCCATTTCTAAATTCTTGTCTCTGTTCTCGCCTCTTTTTCTCACAAGTATTTTTAGTTTTAGGTCTCCTAACCCTCATCTCAGCTGCCTGCCAATTTCAGATACTCCGTTTCTGAATTTCCTGGAACTTGACAGAGCCTTCAAGTTCTAACATTTCACCCATCCAATAGAATATTCTACTTCTTTAAAATTGGTAGTGTAAACTCTGTCCCTCCATTTTACCCTTTAGCATCCCGTGAAATCTATGAAAACTACCTCATTTGCCAGCATGTTCTAATTACTCTGTACTTAACTGAATTACATTCATCATTTGGAACGTACTTACTTCCTGGGTGTATTTAAATAAAACTGTAAAGATTTAAAGACAGTTTTCCACAAATGTGAATCAAAGAAGTGTAACTGAATCAATAAACTGCAAACCGTGGGTACAGGGTAGCCCACGATTTTTGTGTTGCTATACTAAGAAACCTCCTCATTCCAGGTTAAGAAATGTCGTAAGATGCAGCATGAATGACCAGACTTAAATGTAGAAGCACTTTTTTGGGGGGGCAAGGTAATTAGGTTTATTTATTTATTATTTATTTTAATGGAGGTACTGGGGATTGAACCCAAGACCTCATGCATGCTAAGCACGCACTCTCCGCACTGAGTTATACCCTCCCCAGAAGCGCTTTGTATAGTAGTAAATTTATAAGGAAAATTTGGAATTGAGACCAAGTAAAAGAAAGGCCTAGTTTCTCCGTTAAATGTTTAGGTGAAACCGGCCTGAGGTTAGGACCTGAGCTTGACAACTTTTGGCCTGGTTTGTGTGGCTTCATGCAAAACCACATCTAGGATTTGTTAATCTGGATTTCTTTTAATATCATTTCTTGTCACAATAAAGATTACTTGCAATTGGAGTTCTTTCTTGTATACCTGAACCATTAGATTTATGTTTTCATAATAATTTGTGGTGATAATTGTCTAACAAATTAGACCAAACTTGAAATATCTAAGAGCTTCATGTTATAAAATATTGGTCTGATGTAGGTTTAAGCCACTGAGGAAACATTAATTTTTTGTTTTTTTTTAAGGTATGAAGTCAGCTTAGTATTTAGTTAGTAATTTTAACCATCAATTTTAAGACATTCTTTTTCTTCTTGCCCATAATTCTGGATATTTTTCACTTTTAAAATTATGAAATCTATCAAACATAAGGAGGAGTACCTGTATAAGTAATTGAATAAACACTCATATACCCACTTGGTTTTTAACAGATCCTAACATTATGCCATATGTGTTCAGACCTTTTTTTAAAAATTATGGTAAAAAAACAACATAAAATTTACCATCTTAACCATTTTTAAATGTAGAATACAGTAATGTTAACTATATACACACTGTCATGTGATAGATCTCTAGAACGTTTTCATCTTGGAAAACCTCAAACTCTATACCCATTGGATAACAACTCCCCCTTTCACCTTAGTACTTGACAGCAACCATCCTGTTTGCTAAGAGTCTGACTACTTTAGATACTTTATATAAATGGAATCATGCAGTATTTGTCTTTTTGTGACTAGCTTATTTCACTTAGAATAATATAGCAAGGAAGTATTGAAGTTTCAGTCTGCTCTGTGTTGTTTTGTTTTTGGTTTGAGGGGGAAGGTGATTAGGTTTCTTTATGTATTGTTAAAGTAATTTTTAAATTTAATTTTATTTTTTAGTGGAGGTACTGGGGATTGAACCCAAGACCTTGTGCATGCTAAGCACGCACTCTACCACTGAGCTGTACCCTCCCCCTTCATTCTGCTCTATGAACAATTATAGATTGTAAATCTTTCAGAAATCTCTGAAAAGTTAGCCCTTGATTGACTTTTATCACAGTGCCAGTACCTTTCTGTGAGCCTAAACCGTAGTCGCTGGCTTTAATCCAAAGAGGGTGCAGTTTATAGTGTTTACAAAACAAAAATCTTTTAGTCCTAAACATAAATATAATTGTAAATTATTACTACTATCTGCATATTGCTTTTTAAAATATTGACTAAAATCAGATCTTTAGACCTGGAAAGATCCTCAGGAGATCCTCTGGTCCAGTTCCCTGGCTCAAGGCAGCTAAGTTGTTATTAACTTTATTAATAATTATTGTTATTAACTCTTGTTTGAGACAACTCAAGGCCCACAGAGGTAGTGGGACCTGAAGGTGGGAAAATGGAGGAAGGGGGTTGTGGTGGTGATTGGTAAAAGAGCCATTCACTCATCCATTTATTCAGCACCTATTGTATGTCTTCTCTCTGTGCAAAGTATCTTTTAGGCACTTGAGTCAGCAGTGAGCAAACAGATAAAAATCCCTGTCTGTTCTAGTTGAGGAGGAAATAGATAAGAAACAAACAAAATAAGTAAATACATGTAATAAGTCAAATAATGAGTATTAATGCAGAAATATAAAGGAGGGAAGAGGGATGGGGTGTATCATCATTGGTGGGTGGAGGGTACAGTTTGAAATGAGGTGAACAAGGAAACTCTCATTGAAGCGACATTGAACAAAGACTTGAAGAAGATGATGGAATGATAATTCAGATACCAGGAGAATGTTTCAGGCAGAAGGAACATCAAACCTAAAGGTCCTGAGGCAGTAGACCCAGTGTGTTTGAGGAAAAGCAAGGACACCAGTGTGGCTGAAATGGAATGAAAGAGATAGAGAGTGATAGAAAATGAGGGACAAGGTCATTGGCCTTACAGGCTAGTGTAATGACACTTGGCTTTGCTCTGATGAGAAACCATCAAAAGATTTTTATCAGAAGAGAGACACGATCTAACTTTTCCCTTCAAAAGGACACTCTGCTGTGTTGAGAAGAGACTGTGGGGAGGTCACAGTTAGAAACAGGGAGATCAGTTAGGATGCTATTGCAGTAGCATCTCAGTATGAGAGATGGTGGTGGTTGGATCAGGAAGGTAATGGTGAAACTTGTGAGAAGAGGCCAGATTCAGGTTAGATTCTGAAGACTGAGTCAACAGTATTGCTGATGGATTCTAAGTGGGAATCTTCAACCATGTTGAACCCAAAGAACACAATTTATGGGAATTTTAGATGTGGTACAAAACTGATAGGCAAGACTTGTCAGTGTGCTCAGTAGTTTATTGATGAATTATTAAAAGCATTCTCTGGAATTTGGGTTTATACTCTGTATATTTTAGTGATATTTCAGCCTATTTCAAACACTGTTCACTTCCTTAGCAGTTTTTTTTGTGGTTCATAATATTCTTTGTAGATTTTATTTCATATGCATCATTCTTTGTTCTCAATGCCTTTATTTTTCTTCAAGGTAGAAAATGTTGTTAGCCCAAATAAATCGAGATTCTCAGGGAATGACAGAGTTTCCTGGAGGAGGAATGGAGGCTCAACATGTTACCCTGTGCCTGACAGAGGCAGTAACTGTGGCAGGTGAGCAGTGGTATTTGAAGGAATCATGTGGGTTTGGGGATATTTGTCTTAAGGGAAAATGAAAGCTCATAACACTGTGTTTACTTCGCTCCCCGTTTAGCTAAAGGCAACACAAAGCTAAGCCTTTTTATGAGCATATTTACCTTGGTGTGGATGCTGGATACAGTAGGGCAGGGAAATTTTTTCTCTAAATGCTAGAAGAAATCCCATTTGAGTCTAAGTTAAGCAGTCTGCTTTTTGACTAACTTTTATTTTAAAAAATTAACTTAAACAGCATGCACGTACGATAGTTATCTAAAGAAAATAACTGTTCTTTTATAATAGATGGTGACAACTTAGAAAATATGGAAGGCGTAAGCTTGCAAGCAGTAACACTTGCAGATGGTTCTACTGCTTATATACAACACAGTTCTAAAGGTATGTACCTCATACAGCCCATTGAATATTACCAGCAATTCGTAACCTTAGAGTTGGAACACCTAGCAGTTATAACCCTTCCCAGTCCCTCCTAAAGACACTGTATTGCATACAGTAATTTTAAATAGTTTCCATTTAACTTAAATTTTGTTTTGATAATTTGAGGACACCTTTTGAGGTATTTGGACGATATTCTATAGAGTATCAAAATCAGTGAGGAAGAGGTGAAGGGGTGGTGTCCCCAGCCTATATTTAGTAAGATCTTTCTTGCTTTTACATTTCAAATTATTAGTTTTTACAAAATATGCATGAAAGTAGACATTTGATTTTGCCTGTATAACATTGTCTCTCAGTGTTTACTTTGCTTCAAGAAGTAGCCTAGTTCTCCACTTCCTTGTTTTTATGGAAAGCTGCTGAGCATATGTTTACGTAGTCAAGGAACTTATAACCCCCAGGAGTGAGAATGACAGCGGGCCTCACGTACACTGAGGTATCTGTCTATCTTCCCAGTTTCAGCTTCCCACTGTTCAGGGTCACTGTTCCAAAGTGGCTCTGACAACATGACTCACGTAGTTTGCTGTGATAAGCCACTCTTCCTCTTGAACTTGTCTAATTGAAAATTGGAGGGGAGGAAGGATGGCTGAGGGAGGATTTTCTGCTTTCTGTAGGATCACTGGATGTGTTATTGAATTGCCTCAGAACAATGAGGGAAGAATCAAGATGAACATGATCTTAAGTAGTGTATGTTTTTATAGTTGATATCATTTTGAAATTGTATAAGCTTTAAAATTTTTGCTTGTGCTGATTTATTGGCTTACATCTTTTGTTCTAGATGGAAAACTCATAGATGGTCAGGTCATTCAGTTGGAGGATGGTTCTGCTGCCTATGTTCAACATGTACCCATACCTAAGAGTAGTAAGTATTTGATACTTACTTATCCTCCTGATTCTCATAGTTCAGTGTTTGCTGCCTCCAGCTGCTTTTTACTACTTAAATTTGGTCCTGATCTCTAGTCCTTCTTCTCAAGGGGGAGATGGGTAGATGTCAAAGAGAGGATGCAAAGACCATTTTAACTTAACTGAGACATTGTCTCAAAGATACTGGAAAGGAACTTACTAGACTGCACTCTGGAGATAAATGGGCAACAGTTCTAAGTGAATATTTCTGTTATTTGAGCTAAATCCTACATATTTTCATTTTCTTCTTTTTTTTCCACCCCTTCTTTCAACTTTCCTTATCCCCTGCTATAGATTCCTAGAACAGGTATTCTAATATCTTTCTACCTTCAAATCCTTACTCAGAGCAGCTTTGCTGAAATTATTTAAATATTTAAGGATCTGTAAAGCAAGTGTAGGTTTTTATGATGTGTTTAATGGTTTATTGGCTCTGTTGTTGCTGCGTTATCAGAACACGCTTGGAAAGCATGGGATCTAAATGTAAGCATTGTTCTTGAGCAGGGGACAGTTTGCGTTTAGAGGATGGTCAAGCAGTGCAGTTAGAAGATGGAACTACAGCATTTATTCACCATACCTCCAAAGGTAAATTAACTTTGAACATTTGTAAAATAAGAGAGTGGTTGGGTGTGGGAAAAATAAGACCTACCTTTAGTTGCTGAAGTGCTGTCATACTGTTCTTGTTCTCTGAAATATAAGATCGCAACTTTTGGCACAGTCTAAGGAAAATCTTTTCTAATTATTTGAGTTGTGCAGTAACAAGTTGGAATAGCAAACCTCTGTCCTTGGAAACTTCAAATAGAGGCTGCTTTTGAAATATGAAATTAGACATTTGAAAGTTGAAAGGGGTAAATTGGGTGTTCGAAATCTGCACCTCTTGGGGAGTGATAGAAATGTTAGCTATCTTGATTATGGTGTTGGTTTCATAGGTGTACACATCTATCATAATTCATCAAATTGTATGTCTGAAATATGTGTAATTTACTGTACAGGAATTGTACCACAATAAAGTTAAAAAAAAGAAATATAACTATTAAAAAGATATAGGGGGATTTAGGTTGTGGGTTCAGAGCTTATAGCATGGGGAGCTTCTTTTATAAAAAATAAGAATTACTAATACAAAACTATATGTGAATATTTATAGAGAGAAAAGAAATCAAGTTGTAAATTTTAAGAACAGAATAAATACCACAAGTGTGGAAATCAAGGAAATTGAACACTATTAGTAATTAACTGCCTGATACACTTCTCTAGATACATTTTCCCTATATAGTTTGGCTGTGTACTTTTTAGTCACCAATTTATATGGTAATGATCTTGTAATATTTTCTATAGCAAGAATAAAATAATTCACTTTTCATTCAGCTTGGCTTAGAGAAGTTTGTTTCCATTCATAACTCTTATTTTTAACTGTTTTGTATTATTACCATATTTGAAAAAACCTTTATCATGTTTCTTTCATACAAGATTTCCTGGGTAGTAACTACTCTCTGAATTGACAGTACTCAATAACTAGTGCATGAGGCATATGACAAATTTATATTAACCTTGTAAATGACAGCGTTTTGTGGCAAATGAGCACATCTTTTCCCAATGTATCTAAATGATTCACTCTTTTAATTGGGCCATCAAGTAATCCAGTAGCCTATTCATTATTTCTGTCCCAAATATATCTTTTCCTCTTAATAAATTACCATGTTTTGGTTTAATTAAAAAAAAAGTCTTTAGCAAGGTCCCTTCCCCTTTGTGTTGGTCTTTAAAACTGAATAAAAACTTTAAAACTATCTGAGGCAAATATGGCAAAATGTTTATGTGTATTAACTTTATGTAGGGAGGACCAGGGGTTTGAGGTGGAATACGTAGTAGCAGTGAGCCCAGCTCTGCAGCCAGACTGTCTAGGTTCAAATCTGGGTCTGTCTTTTAGCTGTGTGACTTTGAGCAAATTATTCAACCTCCCTGTGCTTCAGTTTCATCATCCATAAAATGAGGATTACAGTAAGTATCCACGTCATAGGGTAGTTGTGAGGATAAAATGTACAAACATGTAAAGCACTTGGAACAATATTTGTTACATGGTAAATGCTCAATATTAATAAATATTCGCTCTTGTTATTTATAAATATTTTATTATAGAATGATTGTAACATGTTTTAAAAGACTGTTGTGAAACCAGAGGAGGAAATTTTTTCAAGTTTAGAATATTTAAATTTGCTAGTAAATTTATTTATTTAAAGTTGAGAAAAAGTGAACTCACTTTTTTTCTTTAGCAGTGGAAGTTCCTCACAAGTTCATTATAATTGGCTAGATTTATTATTTCACAATGCTCTAAGAATATTGGTATGGTTATTTAGAGGAGGAGAAAAAAACCCATTGAGTCATACTGTTATGAGTTCAGATCCTGGTTTCTCTACATACTGATTTTGACTGTTAATTATTAGTTTTTTTAATTTCTTTGGTCCTAAGGAAAGTGAGTTTGTTTCCCCAAGCCTCAATTTCTCGTTTGTACAGTAGTATGGTAAATATACCTGCCCATAGAATCGTGACAATTGAATGAAATAACACACATAAAGCACATGGGTCCTGCTCATAGTAGCTACTCAATAATCGAGTTCATTCCCTTCTTGCTTTAAATATGTAACTGTTTATCAGACTACCTTTAATTTAATATCATTCTCTTCCACTCCCTCAGATAGTTATGACCAGAGTGCATTACAGGCAGTTCAGCTGGAGGACGGCACCACAGCTTACATCCACCATGCAGTGCAAGTCCCGCAGTCTGACACCATCTTGGCAATTCAGGCTGATGGGACAGTGGCAGGTCTGCACACTGGGGATGCCACAATTGACCCCGACACCATCAGTGCTTTGGAACAGTACGCAGCAAAGGTACAGCATTTTACAATGTGAAGAACTTCCCAGATCTTTCATTAAAAGAAAGGAAAACAAAAAATAAGACATTAGAAATTCAAAGTAAAAATTGGACAGCATCAAGAAGACCAGCATTTATCTTAAAAGAAGTGAACAGTAGAAAGAAATATTTGAAGAAAAATAAGAGAATGAAGTAAGAGCTTATAGAAGAGAAATGGGTGGCAGATAACTCACAAAAAGTTACATTCAAGGAGAAGTGCCGTAATAATGAGGTATAGCTGGAACTGCTTATCAATTAAGAAGTAGAATTAGAGATTGGAAAAGGTGAAGGAAAGTCTCAATTACGTTTTACATCAAAAGGGCTTTGTTTTTCCCTTGCATTGAAATTATACTGTTTGTATAATTTAAAAGGTTTCCCAAAACTTTTTATAATGGAAATTTTCAAATATACGCAAAAATAAATTATAATGAATCCCCATGTACTTATCTCCAGCAGAAACAATTATGAGTATGTAAAACTTTTCTAAGCTTTATTTTATTCTTACAGGTGTCCATTGATGGAAGTGAAAGTGTAACAGGTTCTGGAATGATTGGAGAAAATGAGCAAGAGAAAAAAATGCAGGTATGTAAGATTACTATTTTATATAAAAATCTCTTTCTCTTAGCATTTCTAGGTCTTTCCATGGATGAAAGCAAGAATAGTGAACTCACCTCTCTAAGAGAATGTTACTAATTCAGAAAAGCAGTGCATGCTTTAGGCAGTAGCTTTCTCAAACTACGTCAGGGCTCAGAATTCAATATATAGATGCAAGTGCACTAAAGAAATAGAAATATCACAGAAATCCAGATGAAGCTCGTGTTCTGGAATCCAAGGCAGTTTTGGAGATCAGGTGATCTTCTGTCTGTCCCACCCATGATAGTTTGTGAATTCTTTTTCTAGGATTTCACCTTTACTGTGACTAACTAACCCTCACTACTTTGCTTTCTATGCTTTTTGTTTCTTCTGTTTACAACTGATTCCCTCCATACTTTGCAACTTCCAGAGAGAAGGTCCAGCCTAGCTAATTCTCATTGCTCCCCCTGGGCAAAGCTGTTTCTACTTTTTGTACTGGACTGCTTCCTGGGATGCAGATGGCCACAGGTCGGCTTCCCTTGATTCAGATGCTCACCCTGGGTCCAGTCATTGGCTACCCACTTACCCAATAATAGCCTGAAGCAGCAGTGCCTCTCCAAGTCTTGTAGTTAAGTACAAAGTAGTCACAGATACATTTTAGGAGATCTGCAAGTCAAAATTCAAGATTCTATTTTGAATTATGTGTCTTTGTGTTTGTGTGTGTGGGTGTTCTTGGAGCTTATATAATCATCGTAGTATATTCTTGCTTTAACGATCCACCTTTTGTTCTCAGCAGTTATCTCTAATATTTTGCTGACTGCTCCCTCAGAGTAGTTTTTTGCATTCTTCCAGGTTTTCTCTTGTGTAATTCCTATTCTAATGTTATTGCTTCAGGGCCACACTTCTTAACTTGAGCATTAGCATCATTACCTAATGCCTTTGAGTAGTAGGGGGTTATCAGGAAGATTTTACATTTATAATAACAGTATGTAATAAAATAACAGGAGTCACTGAAATCACTGGTAAAAATATGATGCTTTTAAACATTGCTGAATAGCCAGTATTTCTGTTTACCATCTGAAGAGATGCTGTTAAGTGGCAGTAATATAAACCAGTTTGTAATTCACTAAGCCCATCAGTTTTGAAACTGTGTGATTCTTGGAAAATTTTTCACATCTTTGAATTCATAAAATGAGACTTTAATATTTTTTTATACTGCAGTATGTCAAATCAGATCTAAGTCAGAGTTTACTAAAATGCAAACACAGTGTAAATATATACAAGAGGGGGGAGGGTGTAGTTCAGTGGAGAGTACATGGTTGCACAAGGTCCTGGGTTTAATCCCCAGTACCTCCATAAAATAAAAATAAAAATGAAAATAAAAATAAAAATCCCCCCGCAAACAAACTACACAAGAGATGTAGGTCAGTGCCTTGGAGTGGCCCAATAGAGTTCTCTTATTAGTGACTAACAATTAGATTTTTAAGTAATAGAATATTTTTAAAGAAAGATGTTTGTAACAACACTTGTAATAAACTAATATAGAGTAGATCTTACCAAAAAATGAGTGAATTTACCATTGGGCCATTTAACATTATAATATACTATTTTCATAAAATTCTGTTACCATCAATAATTTCTGAACCCAGAAATGTACTAGGAATTCAGAACCACTGAAACAGAATGTCATAAAAAGCCCCATTACTCTTTATCAGCAGACATATGCCCATTTAGTGTTTGTTCCAATAGACAAAGAAAGAAGAAAGTTGAATAGGATTTTTGTTTTGACTGTAGCTTTTTCTCCTTTGCCCTTTGTACTTCTCCCTTACAGAATAGATCTGCGCTGTCCAAGATGCTAGCCACATGTGGCTACTGAGCACTTAGAAGGGTGGCTAGTCAGAATTGACATGTGCTGTTAGTGTAAGATAAACACTGGATTTCAAAGACTTATAATGAAAAAAAGAATTAAAATATCATATTAATAATGTTTCCTATTGATTACATGTTGAAGTGATAATATTTTGGACATATTGGGTAAAATAAAATAATTGCTAAGATTAATTTCACCTGTTCATTTTTACTTTTTAAATGTAGTTACTAGAACATTTTAAATTATATGTGTGGCTTGCATTTGTGACTCATACTTCTCTTCATTAAGTGCTAGACCAGAAGTTCCTGAATCTTCCATCCTCTAATACGACACTGAGTACCATAGTCGAAGTTGAGGGCCCAGTACATGATATTAAAAGGTCAAAATATCCCCGAAGAACCACTGCAAATAAGCAGCACCTGTAACTTCATGGCTTGTCTTTCGGTGTTCCTCCTACTTCTGCCAGAGTTGCTTAAGAAGTTGTAACTCTGTGCCTGGCTGAACTTTAAAGAGGTCTGTAGGTAATGCAATAGACTTTTTTTGCAGTCTTCTAAGCTTTAGATTTTTTTCATTGTGAGAGAGTTTAGAGCTCTTTCTTTCATCTGTAACATAACATATTAGTTGTGCTGCTGAGCTGATCTCTTACTTGAAACCAGATTTCACAAGAAAGACCTAGAGCATCTGTGCTCATGGGAAGACAGTTTTGCCCTGTAAGGGACATTTGGTAGTGTCTGGAGACAATTTTGGTTGTCACAGTTGGGGGCATCTACCAGGTAGATGTCCTACAAGGCATAGGACACCACCACCTCCACACCCCCTGCCCCCAAAGAATTATTCAGAATGTCAGTAGTGCTGAATTTGAAAACACTCATCTAAAGTACTCTGTTTAAGATGCCCAGGTGTTCAGTTGTAAGAACTGTAAGGATGATGGAATGAGTGTGTTTTGGGGAGACTATGACTACTGCCATTGCTCTCATGCTGCACCACCCTAGTTAAGCAGAAAACAGTATGATAATAAAGTGGTAATCTGTAATAAAACAAATCTGAGTTAAGTTTCCATTCTATTATGTAGTAGCTTTGTGACTGAGCAAATTACCTAACTTCTCTGGATCTGAGAATTTTTTTATCAGCTAAGTGAGAATAATCATCATTTGAGAGTTTCATTTGATTAATATTTTAGGTAATACATGAGAACATAATTTGTAACTCTGCAAGCATTACATTATGCAGCACTGTCGATTCTTTATGTGTTCTGTTAGAATCCCAGGCCCTTTTTTGTGGTTTCCATTAGTTTTGACTTCATTTAAAACTAATTTTATTTGCATTGGAGATCAGAGTCCTTTGGCTTGGCAGTTTTAATCAGAGCTGTAATAGTTGGACAAGACAGAAAGCTAGTCAGGCTTGCTCAAGAAAAAAGAGATATGTTGTACACATACAACAGAGCTTACAGGAAACTAAGAGCAGGGGTGTGGATATAGCTCAGTGATAGAGTATGTGCTTAGCATGCACAGGGTCCTGGGTTCAATCCCCAGTACCTCTGTTAAAATGAATAAGTAAATAAATAAACCTAATTACCCCCCCAACAAAAATAAACAAATAAATAAAAAGGAACTAAGAGCAGGAGCTGCTGAACAGCTGGGCTTCACAGGAACCAGCATTGCAAAGGAGTCAGGACTGGAGGCTGATCTCACTCCCTTTTCTTCCTTCTGTCTTTTCCCGTGGCACCTCTGTTCCCTTCTTTTCTCTGCAAGCAGGCTGCTTCTGTGTCTTCACTGAGTTTACATTTGGTTCATCACAGTCATGCTTTCTCAGGTTTAACATCCACAAGCAACTCAAGATTTCCCTTTATTTCTTAGGTCAAATTCTTAGGTTTCAGGAAAGGAGACTCTCTGGACTCAGCTTGATTTTTTTTTTAAGCCAGACCATATAAGGTATAGGTCACTGGCCAGCCTCAAGATACACCATCTTCTCTGATTAACAGGGTTTATGGCTAGGGTGGCAGATTCTCCCAGAACATGGGTTGGATAATTACCCCAAAACCTGTTTGGTAGAGACAGTTTGAATGTGGATCATATTTCATATATATATTTGCTGTACTTTTATCTAGCTATGTGATCTTGAGCAAGCAAACCTTGCTTTTCTAAAGCTCTTTTTTTTCTCACCCCTAAAAGAAAGATATTGAATCCGTGGTTATTAGTCAAAGGCTAACATGAGGTTGAACTGTGGAGCTGTTGAAAAGTAATCCATGACCAAGACCAGCTTCCAGAGGTTTGATCAGTAGATCTGGGATGGAACTGAGAATTTTTTTAAATTAACATTTTTAGTGTTTGGGTTTTTTTTTTTTAATTTAGAGAAGTACAAAGGAAAAAACCCAAATGATCAATTATCTTACTATACAAATAGCTATTGTATACTTAAATAAAAAGATAATCGTGTTTATATTTAGAAAATCCAAATGGTAAAGAGAGAGAAAAATAAAAAGTGCAGTGATTATCTGCACCACTACCCAGTAATCATCATTTAAGAAATGTGTGGTGGGGTTTTTTTTGTTCTTTAAAGTCTTCCTGGCAATGCTGACATGTCCCATGGTTCCCTAAGGTCCCTCTGTTGCCACCCTCCATTTTTTTTGAAGAATGACTGTTTTTTCAATCCTCAAATAAAAAAAAAACCCAATCTCCTTTTAAACAATTAGTATAGAAGCAAATTAGTTCTTTGGTAGCAGGTTTTTATGAGGTTTTTAAAAAAATATATTTCTCAAATTTCTCTTAATCTGTAGTACATCCCTTCCCCTTTTATCCTTTTTTAAAAATTGAAGTAGAGTCAGTTTACAATGTTGTGTCAATTTTTGGTGTACAGCATGTTTCAGTCATACATATACATATGTATTTGATTTCATATTCTTTTTCATTATAGGTTACTACAAGATAATGAATATAGTTCCCTGTGCTCTACAGTATAAACTTGCTATTTAACTGTTTTATGTATATAGTTAGTATCTGTAAATCTCCTACTCTCAATTTGTCCCTTCCCATCCCCTTCCCTCCTGGGTAACCATAAGTTTGTTTTCTATGTCTGTGAGTCTGTTTCTATTTGTAACTAAGTTCATTTGTGTCTTTTTAGATTCCACATAAAAATGATA